AGCCCTCATTACTTCGTCCTGACGAGCAACAAGATCTACTACTCGGAGGAGACCTCCCGCTACCAGTTCAACGAGGACGAGGAGGAGGTGGAGCAGAAGGAGGTGCGTGAGGGGCGAGGGGAGAACTCCGGGGAGGAATGGGTGGAGAGAGGGTGGCAAAACCCGTTTCTGGTGGTGGGGGGTTTGACCCCGCAGGAGTTCAACAACAACGAGCTGCACTTCACGGAGAAGTGGTTCCACGGCAAGCTGGGAGGGGGCCGGGACGGGCGGCAGATCGCCGAGAAGCTGCTGCACGAGTACTGCACCGAGACGGGCGGCAAGGACGGCACCTTCCTGGTGCGCGAGAGCGAGACCTTTGTGGGCGACTACACCCTCTCCTTCTGGTAGGAGCTCCAGAAGGGCAGGATCCCGCCATTCCCGAACCATCCCGCCCGGATGACCTTCCGGTCGCTGTCCGTGGCGGCTGGAATGGTTTTTCCGGGGGAAGGGGCGGGAAATGCCGCCTGTTTCTGGATGCAGACCCAAGTTGACCCGCCTCTCTCCCGCCGCCGCCGCAGGAGGTCCAGCCGGGTGCAGCACTGCCGGATCCACTCGCGGCAGGAGGCCGGGGCCACCAAGTTCTACCTGACGGACAACCTGGTCTTCGACAGCCTCTACAGCCTCATCTGCCACTACCGGGAGGTGCCGCTGCGCTGCAACGAGTTCGAGATGCGCCTCACCGACCCCGTCCCGCAGCCCAACGCCCACGAGAGCAAAGAGTGAGTGAGGAGCGTCCCCAGCCTCTGAGTAACCCCCCGGGGTGCGGAGGTGCCGGTGGCAGCACCCCCCGCCCCGTGCCCGTGCTGTGCCCGCCCAGGTGGTACCACGCCAGCCTGACGCGCCTGCAGGCCGAGCACATGCTGATGCGGGTGCCGCGCGACGGAGCCTTCCTGGTGCGCAAGCGCAGCGAGCCCAACTCCTACGCCATCTCCTTCCGGTGAGCGCGGCCGCCGCCACGAGGCCTCCCCGGGCTTGGCCGAGCCACGTGGGTTGCTTGGCTTGGGTCCCCGGGGGACCTCAGGAGGTGACACATCCTCGGGGTTGCCGCCTCGGTAGCTCCCCGTGGAGGATCCAGGATCCAGCCCTCACTCCGTCCCCCCACGTGTTGTCCCGGCCCCAGGGCGGAGGGGAAGATCAAGCACTGCCGGATCCAGCAGGAGGGGAGGCTCTTCATGCTGGGCAGCTCGGCCGAGTTCGAGAGCCTGGTGGATCTCATCAGCTACTACGAGAAGCACCCGCTGTACCGCAAGATGAAGCTGCGCTACCCCATCAACGAGGAGACCCTGGAGAAGATGGGCACCACCGTGAGTGCTCCCAGCAGGGGGGGGTGAAGGTTCAGCGCCCCTGTGCCCAGCTCCACCACCCTCCAGAATTCTGGGTGAAGCCCAAGCAGAACAGGCCGAGCTCGTTCTGCTGACCCACCGTAAATCCCTTCCAACGGGTTGGGTTCAGGTTGGACATGGGGGAGAAGTTCTCTCCAGGGAGGGGGATCAGACCTCGGGATGGGCTGCCCAGAGAGGGAGTGGAGTCCCTGTCCCTGGAGGTGCTGAAGCAGAGCCTGGACGTGGCACTCGGTGCCAAGGTGGGGTTGGACTCGACGATCTCAGGGATCTTTTCCAACCTGGTTCATTCCAGGAGTTGCAAACGGATTTTAGGTGCCCCCCCCAACCTCCTTGTATCCAACCACACCCCCCCTGGGGACTTTCTCCCTGCAGGAGCTGGACTATGGAGCCCTGTATGAGGTGCGGACCCCCCACTTCTACGTGGAGGCCAACAAGATGCCCATGGCCAGGGTAAGGGGCCAGGGTGGGCACCTGGGAGGTGGAGGGTGGTGGGACGTGATGATTCCAGAGCTGGGCTTCGTGGGTGGTCCCTCCCCAGACCCACCACGTCTCCCACCACCACCGACCTGAGATGTGGGGACGTTTTGCCACGTTTTTGTGACCCTCAGGTGATGCCGGAGCTGGATCCCTTTCCACTGGGGAACCCCAAAGAAACAGGTTTAGGGTCAGTTCCCAGAAGATGCATTTTCCATCCTTGGAGATTTTTGGAACTGGGTTGGGTTTAGAGTTGATCCAATCTCCATCTTTGGTTTTTGGGACTGGCCTGTCCTTGGGGTTGACCACAGTCTCGAGTCCTGGAAGTTTTTGGGACTTGAGGCTCCGTCAGGAACTGTGATAGGACAAGGAATGAAGGATACAAATTGAAAGCAGGGAAACTTGGCTGGGATATTGGGAAGAAATTCTTCGCTGTGAGGGTGCTGAGCCACTGGAACAGGTTGTCCAGGGAGGCTGTGGATGTCCCAGCTCTGGAAGTGTCCAAAGTCAGGTTGGATGGTCAAAGCCAGGGTCCTGCTCCAGCCCAGATATTTATCCAGAGAGTGGGGAATACTCCTGGCCCCACTCCAGCTTGGACAATTTTCTGGAAGATGAAGGATGCTCCCAGCCCTGTGCCAGCCCAGACCCTTATCCAGAGGCTGTGGGATGCTCATGGTCCTGTTCCAGCCCAGATCCTTATCCCAAAGCTGTAGGATGCTGCCAGTCCTGTGCCAGCCCAGACCCTTATCCAGAGGCTGTGGGATGTTCCTGGCCCTGTTCCAATCCAGACCCTTATCCAGAGGCTGGGGGATGCTCACAGCTCTGCTCCATCCCCGATCCATGAGCATCCCACTGCCTCTGGATACGGCTCTGGGCTGGAGCAGGACAGTGGGATGCTCCTGGCCCCACAGCCACCCAGACCCTTCTCCCTGAAGAACCTTCTCTAGCGGGAGGTGTCCCAACCCCCGGCAGGGTGTGTGCTTGGAACAAGGGCCATCCCAACCCGTTTGGAATTTGGGAGCCCCCGGGGCTGTGCCTGGAGGAGCTGTGGGGGCGGGCAGGGGGGGTGACACGTCCCTCCCCCCCGTGTCCCAGTGCACGGTGAAGGCCCTGTACGACTACAAGGCGCAGCGGGAGGACGAGCTGTCGTTCTGCAAGCAGGCCATCATCCACAACGTGGACAAGCAGGACGGCGGCTGGTGAGGACGAGGGGACACGCGGGGGGATCCCACGGATCGTCCCCTCGTGGGTTTTTAATGGCCTTCTCCTCCTTCTCTGTCCCATCCCCTTCCCCGCCCCCCAACCCCTGCTCCGCCCGGCCCCGCATGCAGCTCAGACACCCCCGACCCCTCCCCCAAAATCCAGCCTTGATCCTCTCCCCCCCTTGCAGGTGGCGGGGGGACTACGGGGGCAAGAAGCAGCTCTGGTTCCCGGCCAACTACGTGGAGGAGATTGTGGGCACCCAAGCGCCGGAGCAGGACGAGGCCGTGAGTGACACCCCCCCACCCAGAGCGGGGACACCGGAGATGGTCCCGGTGCTGCTCCAGCCCAGACCCTTATCCTAAGGCTGGGGGATGCTCCTGGTGCTGCTCCAGCCCTGATCCTTATCCTAAGGCTGGGGGATGTTCCTGGTGCTGCTCCAGCCCAGATCCTTATCCTAAGATTGGGGGATGCTCCTGGTCCTGCTCCAACCCAGACCCTTATCCTAAGATTGGGGGATGCTCCTGGTCCTCCTCCAGCCCAGACCCTTATCCTAGGATGAGGATTATTCCAGCCCAGACCCTTATCCTAGGATGAGGATTATTCCAGCCCAGACCCTTATCCTAGGATGAGGGTTACTTCCAGCTCTGCTCCAACCCAGACCCTTATCCAAAGGTTGGGAGATGCTCCTGGTCCTGCTCCGGCCCAGACCCTTATCCAGAGTCAGGTGGATGCTCTTGGCCCTGTGCCAGCCCAAACCCTTATCCAGTGTCCGGGTGTTTTTTTCCCGTTTTTCCTCAGTTTTGGCTGACTGGGAGACCCGGGGAGTGGCTCCCAAGCGGGGCTGTCACCAGGCCTGGCCCCACAGACCTCTCCCATCTCCCTTATTCCTTCCTCTCTTCCAGTCCTCGGAAAACAGCCCCCTGGGGAACTTCCTGAAGGGATTCATCGACGTCCCGTCCTGCCACGTCGGTGAGTTCCCCTCTCACTGATTTGGGGGGAATTCCGAGGAGCTGGGACTGATTTGAGGGGAATTCTGAGGTTGGGACTGATTTGAGAGGAATTCGGAGGTTGGGACTGATCTGGGGGAATTCAGAAGTTGGGACTGATCTGGGGGAAATTTGGAAGCGCTGGGACTGGGGGGAATTCCGAGGTTGGATCTGACTTGGGGGGGGGGGGGGGAATTCCAAGGAGCTGGGACATCCAGATGAACCAGGGGGCGTTTCCCCCTGGCTCGGAGCGCCTTTCAGCCTGGAAATCCTGAATCCACACACCAAACCCCACTCGGGACGCTGGCGGGAGGACCCGGCTGGGCGGCCGGGGTGAGGGGCTGGTGGGACCGCTGAGGTTTCATTTTACTCCGCAGAGCCATCCCTTGGGAATGCCCTGGAGTAAAGCCCCCCCCTCCCTCTGGTGTCCTTGTAGTGATCTCCAAAGACGGCAGGAGCTCCAAACCATTTGTCTTCACCATCCATTCCCAGCAGATGTCCCACGCCGCCCAGTCCCTGGACGTGGCCGCGGACACGCAGGAGGAGCTCAGCGAGTGGGTGGCCAAGATCCGGGAGGCCACGCAGAACGCGGACGCC